GCTTTTTTTTTCCTGGTCTTATTATTTATTACAGTTTATCCACTTTGTATCCCGGGTGTAGCCCCCTCCGTCATCTCCTCCTGGTCCCATCCTCCTTCCCTCTTCTCCCTCTATGCCTCTTCCCTAGCCCACTGATAGGGGAGGTCCTCCTCCCCTTCTATCTGACCCTAGTTTATCAGGTCTCATCAAGACTGGCTGCATTCTCTTCCTCTGTGGCCTGGTAAGGCTGCCCCACACAGGTCAAAGAGCCAGCTACTGAGTTCATGTCAGAGACAGCCCCTGCTCCCTTTACTAGGGAACCCACTGAACTTCCATGGGCTACATCTGTGCAGGGGTTCTAGGTTATCTCCATGAATGGCCCATTGTTGGTGCAGCAGTCTCTGCAGGCCCCCCTCTCCCCTGGGCCCAGATTTTTTGGCTTGTTGGTCTCCTTGTGGAGCTCCTGTCCTCTTCAGGTCTTTTTATCTCCCCCTTCTTCCATAAGATTCCCTTCACTGTGCCCAAAGTTTGACTGTGAGTCTCAGCATCTGCTTCGGTAGATTCTTTCAGAGGCCCTCTGTGGTAAGTTCCTGTCTTGTTCCCTGTCTTCTCCCACTTCTGCTGTCTATACTGTTTGCCTTTCTGAATGATCATTAAGCATCCTCCCTAGGGTGATCCTTGTTGTTTAGTTCTATAGTTCTTTGGAACTATAGAATTTAGTATGTTTATTCTATATTTTATGGCTAATATCCACTTATAAGTGAGTATATACCATGTGTGTCTTTCTGCTTCTGGGTTACCTCACTCAGGATGATCCTTTCTAGTTCCATCCATTTGCCTGCAAATTTCATGGTTTTCTTGTTTTTAATTACCGAGTAGTATTCCTTTGTGTAAATGTACCACATTTTCTGTATCCATTCCTTGGTTGAGGGACATCTAGGTTGTTTTCAGTTTCTGGCTATTACAAACAAAGCTGCTATGAACATAGTTGAACAAATGTCCTTGTTGAATGGCTGAGCATCTTTCAGATATATGCCCAGAAGTGGTATAGTTGCATCTTGAGGGAGCACTACTCCTAATTTTCTGAGAAAGCTCCAGATTGATTTTCAAAGTGGTTGTACAGCAACCAGCAAAGGGAGGAGGGTTTCCCGTTCTCAACATCCTCTCCAGCATGTGTTGTCACCTGAGTCTTTGCTCTCAGCTATTCTGATAGGTGTAAGGTGAAATCTCAGGGTCCTTTTGAGTCTGCCTCTCTGTCTTATATAAACCCTAACTAGAACCTGGCCCATTTCTTGTGTACAGATTTTCTCATTTTGCATTTGCATATTGACAAGCCTCCTCCTTGAAGACTGTAAAATCACTTTATTCTTTATGGTACCAGAAAAGTAGGCTTAAAGGATGTGGTATTATACTCCAGAGCAAAGAGATGTGAATAAATGTTTTCTTTTATTGTTTTTCTTAAAAAAAAAAAAAAGACTTCTCACCATGTGTGGTGGTGCATACCTTTAATCCCAGTATTCAGAAAACAGGGGCAGGCAGATTTCTCTGAGTTTCAGAGCAGCCTCATCTACAAAGTGAGTTAGTTCTAGGACAGCCAGGGCTACAAGGAGAAAGCCTTTCTCAAAGAAGCACACAAACAATCAAGCCAACACTGACTCCTCCGAGAAAAACAAAAGGAGAGTTAAAAGCAAATTAAAAAGTCAAACTTACCAACACCCAGACTCTATCAAAAGGCCTTTCTTTTGGCATGAGTGCTTGAGGGCTTTGAAATAACAAATTATTTTAAGGAAGAATAAAGGTTTCTTTTTAAGTGATTTCCCCTCATCTTATCAAAAATAGGCATGCCTTCTCTTCACATTGATAATAGAAATAAGATCTATCATGAGGGGTGTGACCGAAGAAAGATATATGAAAGAGGCTAAATGCAACCCATGATTTTATACAGTTAACATATGCTAATAAGAGTTTTTAAAAGAACAATAAATATATCTCTCCTAAAAATTACTAGATGACATTATCATGAGGTTTCAAAGTCCACTGTGTCTCTCCCATAATTACCAGTGTTCATCCAGGGTAGTTGGCTCTACTTGTAAGGAAGCACAAAACAGTCTTCAATGTCACATCCTTAGGAGAATGCGTTTTCTTAATTGTGTTTTCAGTGAGAATAGCTGGGAAACCAGACTACCAGAGAACACACACTGGCATAGCCACAAAGTACTTGTTTGATCTTGAGAGCATCAACCCCTCCTGGCCTCTATTTCCTTTTCTTAGAAGGGGTTGCATGGAGGTTCAGTGCCCACAGAGTCCAGAGAGACCATCAAATCTCTTGACTGGAGTTCCAGGTAGTTGGGAGCAACCTGATACGGGTACTGGGAACTGAACCCAAGTCCTCAGCATGGGCAGTATGTACTCATATTTAATGAGCCAGCTCTCCTGTGTCTGGTTTTCTTTGCTAAAATTTTATTTTATTTTTTAATTGAAGATGTGTTGGGTGGGGCCTGAGGGGAGCTGGATAAGGAAAATAAGGTTTTGACATGATCATGTATCATTGCACACATGTATGAAATTTTAAAAGGACCCAAAAGAAAACTATTAGATTCCAGGCAGTAAGATTTTTCAGTTGGCAGCAGGAAGGTGAGAGATAAACAATTTGATTCTAGAGGGAGAGGAAGCAACACAAGAAGATCAATGACAAAGAAGTTTGGAGACACAGACTGATTGTACAGAACGTGTGTGTGTGTGTGTGTGTGTGTGTGTGTGTGTGTGTGTGTGTGTG